CTTTAAAATCATTGGTTTTCTAAGAAATGTGCCATTTACTATACAAATATGAATGCCTTTCTCAAGTAGAACATAGTGGTCACTTTGATATCAGGCATGTGAAGTTTTCTCCCCAACTAAAAATCTGAAGCCATGGGGTCCTCAAAACTTTGGTTCCTAGGCTTTTTCACACATCAGAAACACACTGCAAACACTTGGAATGGTACTTGAAATTTGTGAAGAAGTTGATAGTTATTTAGAGTTGTCTTTTGTGTCAAACATATTCATGTTTGACAGTGGAAGTCTACAGCATGCTGGACAAATGTAGCCACCAAGCCATATTTCTAATAAAAGTATATCCATGTGGATATCAGGTAATTTGTTCTGTATTTTACCAGACTCATGCCAGCCTCTCAGCTTTGCATGTAGGATGCCCTGAGTTACTCGATTTGTTCAGGTACAGTGTGGAGTAACTATTATGATTTCAGACTTCTATTTAAGCTCATCACTGGCTATCTGCAGTGTGCTTATGCCCGTAAGTTCCGATGGCATGAGTTATGGAAAGTTACTCCGGTTGTTTCCTTTTTAAAATGAAAATTATTTATTCCTATTTATTGTCTTAGTGTTTCCGTTGCTATGAGGAAACACCATGACCAAAAGCAGCTTCGGAAGAAAAGGATTTATCTCACTTTCCCATATCATAGTTCATCATCGAAGGAAGTCAGGACAAGAACTCAAGCAGGACAGGAACCTGGAGGCAGGAGCTGATGCAGAGGCCATGGGAGGGAACTGCTTACTGGCGTAGTCCCAGTGGCTTGCTCGGTCTGCTTTCTTATAGAACCCAGGACTACCATCCAAGGATGGCCGGGGCCCTCCCATGTCAATCACTAATTAAGAAAATGTTCTACAGGCTTGCCTATAGCCTTATCTTATAGAGGTGTTTTGTAATTGAGGCAACCTCCTCCATGATGACTTTAGCTTGTATTACGTTGACATAAAAAACAGTCAACAAACCTGATGGTTTGTGGTGGTGCATGCCTTTAATCTCAGCACTTAAGAGGCAGAGGCAGGAGGATGTCTGGAAGTTCAAGTCCAGCCTGGTCTATAGAGTGAGTTCCAGGACAGCCAGAGCTATACAGAGAAACCCTGTTTGGAAAAACCAAAACCAAATAAAACAAAACAACCGACAGCAAAATAAAAGAACAACAACAAAAAGCCCACAGTCAACATACTTATATATGTGCATGTGTAAATGTGTGAGATTTAGTGCACCAAGTGCTTACAAGTGCCTGTGGAAGCCCGAGGGTGTCAGACCCCCTGGAACTGGAGTTAGCTGGCATTCATGAGCCGCTTTGTGTGTGTTCTGGAAACCAAACCTCGTTCTCTAGAAGAGAGATGATTGCTTTCAGTTACCAGACTGTCTTTTAGGCCGTGTGTTGTTCCCTTTGTGTTGTGTAGACAAGTCTCAGAGAGTGTCCTTATCCCTTCAGGGTTGCCTGCTCCTTGAGGAAGGAAGGTGCTTTTAAAAATGTATTAGAAAAACCCACAGAGAAACCCTGTCTCAAACAAACAAACAAACAAAAAGATGTATTTGAAATGCAATGTTAGATTTCCTGCAGAATTTATATTCCACCCAACCAATGCATCATCCTTATCCCCCTCCCCCTCTTTAAAGACTGGCCTTGAACTCACAGAGATCCTCCTGCCTCTGCCACTCAATACTGGCATCCATGTGTACCGTCGTGCCCAGCTTCCATTTCTCTGTGGCCACTTTACAGTTGAAAATGTTGCTGGGTATGCGCACGATTGAGGAGACTAGAGGTCAGCCTTGGATGTCATTCCTCAGGAGCTGTGCACTTTGCCTTTTGAGACAGGTCTGTCGTGTTTGTTGTGTGTCTGTATGTGTGTGTGCCTGCACGTGTAGGTCAGAGGGTGGAACCGTGGGCTGCAGCTCACGGTGGGCTGGGCTGGTGGCCACTGAGCCTCAGGAAACACTTGCTTTCCTAGCTCTGGGACTGCAGACATCCACCCCTGTGTTTAGACTTGTACGGGCTTGCGCTTGTACTTGTGTGGTAACTTTCGTGTGTGGACTTTGAGAAACGCCTCTGCCTTAGCGCCAACTGATGCTCGAGCCCCCACTTCTTGCTTTTCCACCCAGCACCTGGGAGCCACCGGAGCAGATCACATTTCTCGTGTGTCCGTCATCAGCACAGGCATCAGAGCCTCCACTCTGGAAACAAGCAACTGACCATTTAAAGCTCTCTGAGTAGGATGACGGAAGGCGTAGTGACCATTCCTGTTCAGCTGCATATAAACACCCCTTTCCCTTAGACACTGCTGTGTTAAACTCCTTCCACACTTTCTCTTTGAGTAAAATTATGACCTATTTCCAGTGTGAGTCCTATTTAGACTATATGTTTAACTCCCCGCTTCTCTCGTGTGATTTAAAGTGTCCTCTTTGTGATTGCTACATTGATTTCCTCACTCAGTAAACATCCATGCCTTTCCTTGTAATGGGAAGGCAGTATAACTTCTGGTTTGGTTCTGTTATGAACAGGAGTACTATGTTTTTTAATTCAATGAATTTGTCTTGATTTGTTTTAGGTTTCTGATGGCCCAAGCTTAGGCAGTTAGTGATGTCTGGGTTGTCCCATCCTAAGCATTTAGGATGCTGAAGCTTCCGGATGGCAGAAATTGGCTGTAGCTCAGTCATTCAAAGGAGTGTTCAACTTCAGTCATGGGATGTAGTATGATTTTGCTGGTGGAAGATGATAATTACGTTGATGGAAGTGCTCACAGCTTGTTATAGTAAGAACAGTTCCCTTTCAGTACTTTTATTTGGAAAATATTCTCCAAGAATAATCTGTACTTTAGTTTCAGTTGGGGGACCATTTGGCATTGATTCTGCATTGCTTTCTAAATTTATTTTAGTTTTTCTGTTTGAATTTGAGACAGTGTCTTTGTGTAGCCAACATTGGCCTAGAACTTGCTCTGTAGCCCAGGCTGGCCTTGAACTTGTGTCAGTCTTCCAGCCTCAGCCTCTGGAGTGCTGGGGTGTCAAGAATGAACCATCAGTCCAGCTTAGTGTGAGGCTGAGTCTTAGCAACCTGCATTTGTGGGAGACAGGACAATAATCTCTATAGTCGGTAGGCAAGAGAGGCTGGGGGGTTGTGATCTGGGGTCTGTAACCACCCATCAGCGCACCAAAGGAGCTTTATACCAGTTAACATCTACATTCATTTCAGTTCTATTGAAGAGGATGTATTAGTTACTTTTCTATTGTGATAAAAAAAACCCACTGTGGCCAAGAAAGCATTTCATTGGGCTCATGGTTTCAGAGGGTTGGAGTCAATGGTGGTGGAGCAAAGGCATGACAGCACGAACAGCTAAGAGCTACATCTTCAACTACAAACAGGAGTCTTTTGAAATGTCAGATCCCACCCCCAGTGACACACCCTCTCCAACAAGCCCACACCTCCTAATCCTTCCCAAACAGTTCCACCAACTGAAGATCAAGTGTTCAAGTGTATGTGCCTAAGGGGGACCATTCTCATCCGAACCACCCCAGAGGTATTTGTGGGTGTTCTCCTCTTGAGAAACATTTTCTTTTCAGGTATTGTCTCTGCCAGGGTAATTCTTTTTAGAGACCTAAACATCATGAATGGAGCTATAGTCTGCTGGTTGGAATAAGGGGCCTTCTGTACCTCATTAGTAATGTTGCACTTGTGTTGAAATGACTGCCATCCATTCTCCCACCCGGTCTCCTCCTGCCTTCCTGTCTCTGTGAGTGCTTCACTGCATCTGATAGGGTTGCTTGTGCTTAGATGTGGGGTTATGTCGTGGAACAGTGGCAACTCAGCAGTGGCGACACCACTGGGTAATAGATCTCTCCCTGGGATGCAGTACCTGTCTCCCCATACATGCTCTTTATCATTTACACCCCAAGCATTCAGCAAGGGATTTCTAAGTGGGAATCGTTGGGTTAATACCAGAAAGTCCAAAGGTAAGTGGTAAACCAGAAAGCCTGTCAACCTAGAATTCAAATTAGCATGTAGTTCCTGATCACTCCTGAAATGGCTGGGGCCAAGGTCCAGATGGAGCTTGTGGGGAGGCTGTAAACTGCATAGGCATTGTACAAGTTGTTGTGGATGTTGGGAAATTGGCAGCCCTATAGTCTCCTTGAACACCCATCTCAAAGGCCTCGCCTTGAATCAAGTCGTTTTGGTCCTTCTGAGAGACTCCCTCCAGATCCCAGTTACCCCCCTGGTCATCGACTGACCGTCCACCTATGCATGGCAGCTGTGTCTGTTTATACCCATAGCAGGAAGGAATGACATACTCACAGTTTGTGTTCATCAACGCCTGGCTGTCAGCCAGCATGTGGGAAGTGATTCCCAAGGATTAAAATGATTTGTATCTGGTTTGTTGTGTTTAATTTTGGTGCCATCTTAGGGAAGAGTACATTTTGATGAGCTGAGTTACCTTTTTAGATTGACAGGCAAGCAGAAAAACCTTTTGCTGTTTTAGTCTCCTGTAGCCCAGGCTGGTCCTGACCTCACTGGCCCTGACCTCAATCCTCCGCTTCCCCATTGCTTGGAATGTAGGCTTGTAACACAGGTAACACCAGAAAATGTCCTCTTCTTAGTCTAACACTGCTGAAAACCTATCTGAAGAGTCAGCACTCCTTTCCAAAGAGCAGTCTTGTTTTTTAAGAAGGCAGTTAGGATAGCAATAACAATTTCAAACCAGAAGAGGCTGACTAAACGGTTCTCTGTGTGGCCTGTGGGCTAGTCACATCTGCATAAATGGGGGAATATGTAATATGTTAGAAGTCTAAGGTGGGGTCAGGCGTTGGTGGCACACACCTTTAATCCCAGCACTCAGGAGGCAGAGGCATGCGGGTCTCTGCAAGTTGGAGGCCAGCCTGGTCTACAAAGCGAGTTCCAGGATAACCTCCAAGACAATACAGAGAAACCCTGTCTCGAAAAACAAAACAAAACAAAAAAGTCTAAGGTGGGGTAGAAAATGTAAATATAAATACACTGATGGCTGCCTAGGTGCGCACAGTGCACCTGGATGGACATTGTAGTTATCTGGGGAGTGACCTCATGGTCTCGGGCTGGGTTCTAGTACAGCTTTGTGTAAGTGCCCCACATGATGCTAGTGTACAGCCATTGTGGACATTGGTGGACGGAAATTCAGAACACGACGTGTCATATTGTCCCCTGCAGTGCCTTCCTCCTGAAAGTAGAATAAATAAAAACTTAGTTATAATTTGCTTGGTTGGGTTTTGTTGAGCAGGCAGGTCTGCTTTTCACAATGCGGAGGAAAAAAAAATACCCCATAAAGATAGTTGGGGGAGAGGCTGGGATGATGGCTCAGTGGTTAAGAGTTCTTGCTGTTCTTACAGAGGACCCTGGTTTGATTCCCAGGACCCACATGGACACTTAAGACCATCTGTAACTCCAGCTGTGAGGGATCTGGCACCCTCTTCTGGACTCCATGGGCACCAGGCATGCGTGTGGTGCACAGACATGTATGTAGGTGAAACACTAACGCATACATGCAAACCTTGAAAGATCATTTAGTGCAGGTGGATGTGTACGTGCAGGTGTGTGTGTGTGCTCTCCTGAGTGAGCATGCAGAAAACCTCTGCTCAGTAGCTCAGCTAGATGGGGTGGCTGGCAGATGTGAGGTTATAGGCACACATTCATGCCCAGCTTGTATGTGGGTCTGGAGGGTTGGAACTCAGTTCCACATGCTTAGGCAGCAAATACTTTTTTCTGCTGGGGCATCTTCCCAGCCCTAGGGCAGGGCTAGGGAGATGGCTCAGTGTGTATAAGCACTGGCCTTGCAAGCACGAGGACCTGAGTTAAAACTCCAGGATCCACTCAGAAAGCCAGATGCGTACTTGAAGCTGTAACCCCCAGCGCCCCAGTGGGGAGACAGGAGATTCCGTGGAAGTGCAGAGGTTTCTAGTGTGGCAAGCACACTGGGAAACAGCAGAGAACCTTGTCTGAAGGCGGAAGGCCACTGCTGACACTGAGGTTGTCCCCCGGCTTCATGTGCTTGCCATGGGGTGTGGATGTTGGAATGCACAGAAAGGAATGCGTGTGCATGTATTGCACAGGTGTTTCAGAGCAGTGGAGTTTTCTCATAGCAGCAATGTCAAAACTTGGATGTTAGTTTCCTTATCAGGGCCTTGGCATCAAATAAACCATAGAGTGGACCAATAATGTGATGAAATAAATGATAGAATAATTATAGAGATCCATAGTAATTTAAAATTACAAATTTCGCACCAAGTCCAGCAAAGTCAGTTTGTAGTAAAATGTATGTATGGCTGCCTCCCCATAGGTCTCAGCATCCGGGGGGGGGGGGATGCGTACAGTCCCAGGAACAGAATCTAGCGTCTAATACTTGTGCATTTACAAATTTGGATAGGAAAGATTTGGAGAGCCTGAGCTATTCAGGCTGTCTCAGGAGGTCTTGAGGAATGTCTTCCTCACAGTTCACTTCCTGGGGTAAGCCTGGGCATGGGGACCCATCAGTGGCCGCTGTGTGGGAACTGGTGAGAGCAAGGCGGTTTCAGGAAAGTGGGGGGGTGGTGCATGCACACGCATGTGTATCTGTGTGTGTGGGGGCCAGAGGTCAATGTTAGGTGTCTTCTTCAGTCCCTTCATCTTATCTTTAAAATATTTAAAAATTAAATGTAATGTGTGCGTGGGTTAGAGAACTTGCCACAGAGCAACGGAGCAGACTGGAAAATGAGAGCCAGCAAGTGTGTGTGCTTGTTGTGTGTACTTGTTGTGAGAGAAAACCAATGCCAGGTAGGTTGCCCAGAGCTGGTTGCTGTCAGACCCAGAATTAGGGCTTAGACTAAAGTCTTTCCTCTGAGCCTGTGAGATGGTTCAGCGGGTGAAGGCATCTGCAGTCATGCCGACAACCTGAGTTCAATCCCCTAGACCCACACAGTAGAAGGCAAAAACCAACTCTCTTGCAAGTTGTCCTCTGACCTTTGCATGCAACTGCACACATATAGAACAAATACATGTGAAGAAAAAAAACACTGTTTTTAGCAGGGCAGTGACTGACTCACATACCTCCAATCCCAGCACACAGGAGGCTGAGTAAGGGGAATTACAGCCAGTTTGAGGACAGCCTGTGCTAAACAGTGGGACATCTCAAGAAACGAAAAAAAAACAAAACAACTTTTTGTAGTTAAAGAATTTGGTGTGTTCTTCACACTAGGTTCTAGAGACAGAACTCCTGAGCTAGGACATGGCAGAGACCAGTTCTAGAAGCAATGATGTTTTTTTCCCTCCAGTGGTAATTTATTTGATAATTGTCTGAGAATGTCTAGAGCACACTGCCTGTATCATCTGAACCACTGAATTGTGGCAACTTTGTAGCGGTTGTTCTAAGACTTGTCAGTGTGTGCCTGGCTCTGAGTCAACAGGGCATACCTGCCAAAAAACACTTGCTACAGTAGTTTGATCCAAACAATACTTCCATTTCTGAGCAACATGCCACTATCATCAGGGTTCCTAATTGACAGTGTGTTTTGAGTCAAGATGGCAGACTGGGTTCCAGGCAAGACATAACAACACACCCCAGGTGCCTGGCACCCACAGTCTGGACTCTTCCTGACTGCCCAGGCTGGAGGTGTTACTCTCTCCTGAGGGTTTTCAAAGAGAAAAACCTGTTACCCCTGGCTCCCTTGGAACTCTATTCTGTTTAGGCGTCTTTCTGCCACAGAGGCAAGAAGGGCAGGTAGAATTCCCATGTTCCAATAGTCCAGCTACTTGAAATAATTTCATTGAAAGCTTCCTAGCTGGTACAGTGAGGGACAGTAACCGCGCCCGTTCTTACAGTCCTTCCAGTAAGGCAGGTAGGTGCTCACAATGCAGCAAGTGCAGCAGAAACTCGGACTTCTGGTCCGGGCAGGCCATGAGAGCAGTAAGGCTGGAGGCCAGGTTGGACCAGGTCTTCTGGCCTATTTTCCACTCACTGTTTGCCCACACTCACAAGCTGTGCCAACTCCGTCACCTCTACAAACACGTTTGAAAGCCCTTTTTAACAGCACTTAACAATGAGTGCGTTGCTCCCAGTTCCCATCTTCACTCAGCTGATAGGGCCCAAGGGGCCAGTGTCTGCACTTAAACGCCTTCTGTGGAGCTGGGAAGATGGCTTCACTGGTGACAAGTCTTGTTAACCGTGTACTGTAGGTATCGTGAGCTTATGGCCTCTGCCTTTGTGAAGCATCCACAGGCCAACTGGCAGGCAGGAACTCGCCCAAACACTCATCCAGGCCATGTGTGCTCAACGCATGGATGGGATGGGAAAGATGAGGTATAGCTGGTATGTATGAAAATCAGGGGCCGCTTGCCAGGACTGTTGCGGACCTCTCGATGGCCCTGTCGTGGCGACTGGAGTTCAGGGAGATCGCCAGGCTCTTAAGGCCATCAGTACAAAAGGAAGAAAGAAAAACTTTAGATGCAATTGTGATCTGTCTGACAATAAAATGGCATCTTGTTCCTTCCGCTATACCATGTGTCTTAATATAGGAAGGCACACGGTTATACTGCTGGGTAATTTAGGTGGCCTCCAACGCAAGAAAGTGCTGAGCGACTCACCAGGAAGGCTTTGTTTGTAGTGTCCTATAATGCTGAGGTCTGAATAGTTCTGCAGTGACTGAGCCAGTGTTTGTGGTCATCAGGACTGATATGTTGAGCACTGCCCAGGGCTGCTGTGTGTGAGGGCCCGGGGAGCTCCTGGTTGAGGTAGAGGGAGAAAAGCTGTGACTGCTTATGGGGGAGGGGCGGTTCATGTGACTTGGAGTGATCAGGAGTCTGATGTCACTTGTAGGCCTATTTATGGCGTCTTTTCGGAATGCTGATGGTGTGAGTGGAGGTTCTCCTTGTTGTTTGCACCTGTGTATTTCTAAGGAGCGGTGGCTTCCTTTCTATTTTTAACCTCCCCTCTATCATCTGATAGGCCTTAGAGTTTCTCTTACACTCCTGTTTCAGCTCGGCCTTCAGGAAGACTTGAACGAATCAAGACGCAAAGAATGCTACTTGAAATGACTAATAGAGGGGGTGTCGATTGTGTGTGCCCCTGCCCCCATTTCTCCCCCTGAGGTTAATGTAGGATGTGTTGTCAGTGGATAGGTAGGTGAGAGAGCTCACAGGTTCTGTCTTGGAGGCTCTATGCTTGGGATCAAGGCCGGGGCCTCATGCGTGTGAGGCAAACATGCCATCAGGGTCACACCTCACTCTTCAAATCAGCGCTCTTAACCTTGACAATATCTGTTCTAAATAAATACATTGGCAATCTCATTTCCTTTCTCTTCCTTCTTTTCTTTCTTTCTTCCTTTTTTTTTTTCCTTGACACTTGGCCATTAGAGAGAAAAACAAAAAAGCCAGCCCCCAAGATAGATTTTTTTTTTAGCCAGGTGGTGGCATACAACTTTAGTCCCAGCACTTGGGAGGCAGAGGCCGGCAGATCTCTGAGAGTTTGAGACCAGCCTGGTCTACAAGAGCTAGTTCCAGGACAGGCTCCAAAACTACACAGGGAAACCCTGTCTTAAAAAACCAAAAAAATAAAAATAAAAAAGATTTTTTTTTAATTCTGCATAGCTACTGTATTTGGAGGGATCATAATTTGGTGATATTTGAATCCCCTAAGAAAATAATCTGCTTTTAGCCGGAAGTGTTACAGTTTGATAAGTGACTTTACTGTGACCTTGCTTTCAAGGTTCTATCTTCCACGAGGATGGGATTAAGTGTGAAACCGTACCTGGGTTTAGTGATGTCGGAAATGAAGGTATGACACGTTCGATACCCATGTTATCTCTGGTGCTGCTATACTGTCTGTCACTTTGTCTTCTGCTGGCTCCCATCTTTAGAGAGTTTTTCTCTATTCTCCCTCATGTCAGGTTGACCAGCATCCTCACTGGAGGAATTTCGTTTCTGTTGGAGTTTTTCTTAGAAGTAGTATTATTGGAGTAAAAGGTCATATAATGCTATAAGCTGTTAATTTGAATTAAGATACTTAAGTACATTTAAAAGTCACATTTTTTTCCCAAAATGCTTCATGGTCTGCCTTCCACCACTCCCCACTCCCACCCTTTATGGTTGATTTGGTGAGTGGATAGGGCCTGAAGACAGGGGCCCCCGGGTGACGGGTGGATAGGGCCTGAATACAGGGGCCCCCTGACGGGTGGATAGGGCCTGAAGACAGGGGCCCCGGGTGACGGGGGTCCTCTAGAATCACACCTCAGGCAAGCCATTTGCTTATTAATTCTTATTTTCTTTCTTCTCAAATAAAGTCCTAACATAGAAACCTGTGACTCGTTTCCTTCCCCGCCCCTTCCTTCTGACTGGAGCTTATCACATAGCTCAGGCTAGCCTGGAACGTGCATGTAGCCATGGTTCTGAGCACACATCAGTCCTTCCTCGCCCTGCAGAGACAGCACTTAGCTGAGATAGATAGCCTGCTACCTACCCACCTTCCTCCCTTCCGAACAGCTTGGGCACTTTTAAGTGTTCTATTAATTATTAATTTTCTGAGTTTTCCACTAAGGCAAACACAAGTTTCTTGTAGTTGGTGACTCATGGTCACATACTGTTTCTATTCATAGCATAGTTAGCATTGAGCAGCTCTTACTTTGTAGTACCCCGTGGAAGAAAATAAGCAAGACCAAAAGAAGACACTGGAAGAGTGACTGAGAACTGGTCCAGAAAGGATCCAGAGAACTGGTCCAGAAAGGATCCAGAGAACTGGTCCAGAAAGGATCCAGAGTGTCTAACGCCACAGGGACATGGTGGAAAATCCACCACCACCGCAGCCTGAAAGAGCAACTGATGGTGGCTTTGTTCTTTTCCTTTTCTCTTAAAGGTGTGTGTGTGTGTGTGTGTGTGTGTGTGTGTGTGTGTGTGTGTGTGCACATGGTGCTCATTTCTTTGTGTCTGTGCAAGTGTTTATTCCTGTGTGTGTATGCATGTGTGTGTGTTTCGTGCATGTCTTGTGTGTGGTGTGTGCATGTGTATGTCTGTGTGTTTGCATGTGTATTTCTGCATATGTGTTTCTTCTCTGTAAGCTCCCAGCCTAGCTTCATACTTTCCCTCATTTATGCTTATACTCCTGAATCTTGGCTAACCTCCTTACCTATTGGCCTTAAGGACACTGGCAGTGGCATCACCCATCTGCCTCCTTCCTGTCATAACTGGCTATGTACCCTTACCTGAAATTAACATGATGAGTTCCTCTCTACTTAACTCCATACAGTCACAGATAACTGCTAAAAAATTAAGAGGGAAGACCTACTGAGAAGGTGCTATACAGCATTAAGAGGTATTCCTGAAGTAAACAGAAAGCAGAATGTTCTCCCCCAACCCCCCCACTTGGCTGTCCTGGAACTCCATCTATAGACCAGGCTGACCTTGCACTCACAGACATCCACCTGCCTCTGCCTCCCCACCTGCCAGAATCTTCTCTCTCTCTCTCTCTCTCTCTCTCTCTCTCTCTCTCTCTCTCTCTCTCTCTCTCTCTCTCTCTCTCTCTCTCTCTCTCTTCCCCCCCCCCCAACTACACTGGAGGTTCTTTTTCCATCTTACACTGCTTCTACAGGAAGGCCCAGCGCCATGCTGTAGTGTGTAGGGACTGCAGTTGGCCGACTGAGGCAGATACTCATAGAGTTTCAGGGATGAAAGGAACTCTACTATCCATTTATTTGCCTTCAGTAATTCTAGATGTATCATCACCCCCTCCCCACACCAAGGTCCTAGTCTCAAAAATGAAAGTTGTTCTTAGTATTTAGACTGGGACCTGCTCTAGAACCAAGGCTACCGGCTCCTTGCCTCTCCAGGGCTTTCAATATGCCTACATGCTGTGTGACTATCATCACATGGTTAAAGACTGTTAGATATCTTAGATGTCTGATCTAAAGCTCTGGTTGCCATTATGTAGTATACGTTGTTTGTCTAACTAGAAGCTTTCTGTAATCTCTCTATCCACACTCTTGAGTCCTGGCCTTTGACCTTGTTTGACACAGGGTTCTAGTGACCTTTGAGCTTCTGGGGAGTCTCCTATGTCTCTTACCTCATTGGAAGAGTACAGGGATTAAAGATGAGAACTTCTGCAGCTTGTTCTACATAGTCTCTGGGGATCCAAACTCAAGGCCTCATGCTTGTACAGAAGGTATTTTACCCTCTGATCCATCTCCCCAAGCCACCGATAAGGTATTTTAGAATATGGTCTCTGTAAGGGAAAATAATGAAAGGGGTTCTTGGTGGTGAGAATACTACAGCCCAGTGTCCCTACTGCAGCTAGAGTATGGCTAGGTCAGCTTGTTTGTTTTTGTTTGTGACAGATTCTTACTATGCATGCAGCCCAGGCTGGCCTGAAAAGCCTGCAGTCCTCCTTCCCCCCGACCTCTCAGTTTCTGCAGGCATTACGTCATTAAGAGCTGTCTGCACGTGAACAGATGGAAGTTTGAGTGTTGACACTCCACTTCAAGGTTTTGTAATGTGGGCAGGCTATGGGGGGGGTCGTTCTTTTGGCTCCCTATTCTTCACCTTTAAAGATAGCTATTCTATTTTTAAGGTTTATTTTATGTGTGCTAGTGTTTTGCCTGCATGTATATAAATGGACTGCATGCATGGCCCCAGCAAAGGCACCATGGTGCCCCCACAAGAGGAGGATCCTCTGTACCAGACAGATCTGAGCCACCACTCAGGTGCTGTGAACTAGACCTAGGTTGTCCAGAAGAATGGTAAGTAAGGGCTCAGATTCAGTTCCCAGCACCCATGATGCCTGACTCACAGCTACCTCTGACTCAGAAAGAATCTGATGCTCTCTTCGGGCCTCTGGAGCAAACAGATGCATGTGTTCATCCACATGCATGGGCAGACACACATGAATAGAAAAACAAATGTTTAAAAATTGAGATGGTGAAATACAGATTCTGCCATCCAAACCACCGTCAGGCATATAGTTCAATAAGCCTATGTGCTCTGACTTTCATCACAGCTCATCCACAGAACTTCTCAGCTTGCTGGTAAGACGCTCTATGCCCATTAAACTATAACTTCCCAAGCCCTTCTCCCTGGAGGCTGTGCACCATCTTCTCTAAACAGATACGTTTCTCTTTTACATTACAGTGTTAAGTTCTACAAAGCAGTGAGTCCTTGTAGATCAAGTGAACTCCAGCCCACAGGCCACGTCTGGTCATAGCATGTTTGGGTAGGGTCCTCAAACTATTACTGGCGTTATAGTTGGTTCTAAGCACCATGTGGATGCTAGAAACTAAACTTGGAAAGCATCATACTTGTATCTGGAGCTATATTTGTAATCATATCTATAAACTATATTTGTGAAGCATCATAAACAGAAATAAAGAAGACTGCCTCACAGATGAGATGTGGCCTACCAACCTCAGAAATGTACTCTCAGGAGCTTCACAGAGGACAAATCTTCTAACCCTAGGTCCTAGATCTAATCTTTTAAAATGTTGAAATTCTTTAGGAATTTGATTGAAAAGGCATGCATGTATGTATACATCTCTCTCACATGTCTGGAGAATGTTAGATGAATAACTTCTGAGACAGGAATTTCTCAGTTGCATCATGATGCCTCCCGTGGGGTGGAAATTGGTTCTTGAATGATGTAAAACCTTAGATGCTATGTTTGCAGCCTCCCAAAGGGCTGTACATAAATGGGTATCCCTGGTACTAAAATTTAGTGGGTGTGGTAGTTGGGGAAAAGGTCTAATTAGGATCATTAGGGGTGTGATAATGGAAAAATGTTGGAAAATTATGGCCCCAGAATGAATTCAGAAGGCAAGGCCTGGCTTATTGCCTTGTAACTATTCTGCCACTCATGGTTTTGTATGAGTTTCTTCTATTTGCTGCTCCTGTATAAACAGAGGGAACTTCTGATCTAGTTCTTGACTTGCTCAGACTAGAAATTGATTTCATTGTGAACTCTGCCACACTGGAAAAAAAATTCAATCTATGGACCACTTGAAAGTTTGTCAAAGGCTTAAAGGTGCTTGCTGCTCAAGCCCAGTGACATGGGTGGGATTCTGCAGTCAGCAAAAAGACAGGAGAGAACTAAGCCCAAGGTTGTCCTTTGGCCTCCAGGTGTGCACTGTTGCACGTATGTCCCCAGTAATACTACTAATAAAAATCTTTAAAAATCTTTGCCAAATAGTCTATGGAAGATCAGACAGACATTTCACTTAGTTGAGTTGCTGCATGTATGTATGTGTGTGACTTGTGCACAATACCCTTGGAGGTTGGAAGAGATATGGCATGTCCTTGGAGTGGTGTCAAAGATGGCTGTGAGCCTCCATAAGGATGCTGGGAACTGAACCCAAATCCTTAGTTAGAGCAGCCCGTGCTCTTAGCTGCTGAGCTATTTCTCCAGTCCCTTTGTTTGTGAAATAATGTATTGCCATGTAACCCCAGGCTGGCCTCCAAATTGTGATCCTCCTGCCTCAGCTTTCCTAGGTCTGGGATTACACGTGTAATATTGGTTATTTTTTCTTCTAATTGTTATTAACTTAATAAAATGAGTTTAGCTCCAAGAGAATAAAGAACTCTTGAAAAGAAAGCACAGGTATGTCATCATTTTGCCTAATAGTGTCAGATTTAGAATATACACATTTGATAGCAGGCTACTGTTAGGGTTGAAGTCTTTCTCGGGGCTTGTGAACACAGCCTGTCTAATGCATCTTTGTACCCTCAGAGAACAGGATTCTGGGACTGGGCATACTTCTGTTGCTATTCACATGCCATGTTCCTATTCACAGTTTTTCTTTGCCCAAGGGGGTCACACTGCCAGGCTGTCCTGTAGATAGTTTCCTCATCTCTCTTTGGTCCCTGGCCAGGCTTACCACCATGACTATGATGCATGACCATGTCTTCAATCTGAATCAAATACATGGTACCTTTTTAAAAAATTTAACATGGTTCCTTATTAATTCTTTGGTAATTTCACATCTTGGACCCCAATTCCACTTACCTCCCAGTCCCTCCATGTCTGCCCCTAACCCCTATAGCATCCCCCCAAGACCCCTCCCCCTCCAAAATTAAAAACAAAGCAAACAGAAATCCCACCTCATTCCTCCATTTTTTTCCTGCCTTTCCAACACTTCTTCACTTGTCCTAGTAGCATAGGGAGCTGTGGTGTATCACGCGGTACACCCTATTGTCCAAGTAGCCTCACCCACAAAACGTTCGCTGTAATGAGCCATTGATCTGGTGGAACGCCTCTGGCACACCATCATCACAGGACCCTCACAGAAACTCCTTTCAGATATCCTGCTGTTGCCCCGAGTCATGGAGATCCTGCAGCTAACATTCTGTAGGACCAGTCCCTTCATGAGCTCCAGCAGTCATAGCTGGGGTAGATTCTGGGGTGGGCAAACCCAAGGCCCAGGATGTGGGTCTGGGTGGCAGTTGAGCAGGTCAGTCCAGGCCGCTGGGGCCACCCCCCCCTTAGGTGAGGGGCAGAGGCAGGCAGTTCTCCTCACCCATACCATCAGGGCCAGCTCGCTCATACTTGTGGCGAGGGCTAGGGCCAGCTCTCCTGAGTGCCTGGGAGAGGGAACGGATCTCCTGCTGCAGTGTTGAGTAAGGAGCAGGACCAGCTATCCCAAGGTCAGTGAAGGATGGGCTCAGCATGGGCCTTGGGTTTTGACATGCATGGTTCCTGTGGCCCCCTGTAGTTACACAGGCTATGGGTGCCCACACAGACCCCAGCTGCAGCAGGACTATGGAACCAGACATGACCCTCAGCAGCAGCTTGGCCATGCTGAGCCCATCCTTCACTGACCCTGGGATAGCTGGCTGTAGTCTGGACACAGACATCACCATGGCCCTGGGTGGTACCACAGGCCACCCAGATCAGCATGGGCCCAGCTGCAGCATGGCTCCTGGACACTATCATGGACTGGGGTAGCTGACCCGACCCTGGACATCTGCATGGCTTTCAGTGGTTACTGAAGCCATGGACACCAACACGGACCCTGGCTGCTGTAGGGTCACCAACCCAGATGTGGCCCTTAGCAGCAGCTCAGTCCCAGATGTCGTCACGGCCCCCTTGTGGCAGCATGGGCCACTCAGATCAACCTGTTCCTCGTCACCTTTGCCTCTTCGGTTCTCTGTCTTCCCACAGCCCATGACGATTCTGTTTCCCTTTCTCTCCCATTTCTCCACCATGTATTTACCCATCATAATGGCACCAGGCAGCTCTGTGGACAGCTTCAGTCCCCCAGACTGTGAGGACCCAGGCTGGCCTGTGGGCGTCTCTCACCTTCCTGGATCGAGTGGCACCAGGTGGGCCTGTGGATCAAATACACAATATCTTTTATTATTACCTTTTTGTCCAGAAACTGCTGCGGTTGGCCTAGTTTTACCTCTACGTCTTACAAGAGCAAGTTTGTACTGAGAATTACAACTACAAATCAAGAAAGCCTGTAACTTGCTAAAACAGGGCTGTAGTCACTTGGCTAATCCCAACAACACAAGCTCTTCATATGCATATCCTGAGATAGTGTTGGGAAAATACCACTGCAAGACTTTTGGGTAAAAATCTGAAGTAGATGCTGTTGTAGCCTTTAGCCTTGTAAACACCACACTTTAAAAAATGTGCTAGAGAGTGTTTCACATGAAGGGCTTGTGTGTTGGCTGTCATTTTTCCTTAGGAGAGGACACTTTGTCAACATTTTAAAGACAACTAGCTGGATTCTTTCTCCTTATTCTGCAGACACTGCTAGCAGACTCGATCACGTGACTAAATAAGATGGGGTAGTACATAGGATCTGTTTACTTCTGTATTTGCTCATATTTTCATAACAAATTCACAAGTCATACAAAGAAACTTGGAATAGTCAGACCTGATCTTGTTGTATTTATTTACTGTGTGGGAGCTGGATATACGTGTGCATTCCTGCAGGTGCCTCCTTTGGAGGCCAGAGGACAGCTTGGATGAGTTTGTTCTCTCCTTCCACCATGTGGGTCCCAGGAGTGGACTGGGGTCTTCAGCTTTGGCCTGTTGTATTTTTTAATTATTTTCATGATGATGAGGATACAATGGTAGAGCCCCCCCACCCCATTTGATTTCTTGGGCTGTTATTAGCAAGGTAATAAAAAAAAAAGAAAAATACTCAAAAACTAAAACAAATTTTTGGATTTGAGATTTTGAATGTGCACAAATTACCTGAATTCAAATATTTGTCCTGAGAATTT